CATTGCATACATTATACAAATTTACAAACTTATTATAATTATTTTAATTGCAAGAATAAACAATAATTACTTTAGAAAGAAAACTTTAATAAAGACTAAGTAGATTTAAACTGATTTAATATTATGCTTATAAAGATTGTAAAAATGGAAAAGTAAAGTAAAACATGATATATGTTATTTTAATTATTTAAAGTTATGTTTTCATTTATCAAAAAAGAAGCGTTTCATAGTAAGCGCTTAAATAATATTTAATTGACACCAGTCCGTAGCGTCGTTGTTTCTTATCAACTTTATGACTAGCTAATCGAAAATCTTTGTCAATTTCCTGCTTTTTGACATAATTTTACATGTATTTATATAATTGAACAAAGATTGTTTTATTTGGATTCTTGAAGCAAATCTCACAAACATTAGAAAAGTATTATTATTTTTGTAACTTAAGTGCACTGGATGGGTGCCCCTGACCGATGTATATGTAAACATGACGAGTTATACATATCTTTTATGCCATTTATCTAAAAGGTTGTAATGTTATTGTAACAAATGAAACAGAAGGACCTTATGGTAACATTTGTAAAGATTCGTCCAAATAATATTGTACAAATAAATGATACATTCCAAAGATATTTACATTATGTTGCTAAAATTTGTCTTATTGCAAGTGACACAATTATTTCAATTAATATATATTCATCCATTCATTTAAATTGTTTCTCTCACTCATCTTATGTTGACTTTCTTCCTTCCTATTTTTCTTTCTTTCTTTCTTTCTTTCTGCTTTCACTTTTTTCGTAATTTCTTTCTTATACATTTATTGAGATCAATGATATATATTTCATAAACATTTGTATCTAACAAATAAATGGTGACGTCATTATGCTCTTGTCACAAAAACTAACTTTCCGTTTAAAAAAATTGAGAACGAACTTTCCGTATAAAAACTCGAAAACTATCTTTTCGTATAAAAAAGTCCAGGGTGAAGATGATCAGTTTCTCTTTTATTTCTTTAGCATATTGTCGAATCATCCGGGCCGTTTAAAACTAAACGTTTAAATATTTTATCAACCGTCAATCAGAGCTACAGTGGTCACATTTGTACTGATTAAAGGTGTCTGTAAATATGTAAAGTGCAAAACTACCTCCAGGGAAGAAAATATTGTGACATGAACTAAAGATTTTGTTCAAGATAATGAAATACTTGTTGGTCATTAGCAGATATTAATTGATATATCAGTTATCATGGTTTTATGTTTATTTTATTTTGGTTGGGTTTGAACACGCGCCAATACAGAACAGGTCATAATCAAAATTTACTAACTTGTTTGTACATATGAATATTTTTTGTACATTTTATTAAGGAGAAGTAAGCGCATGCGTAGACGATCCGACATACATGCTGAATGGTCGCCAGTGCCGATATCTGATACGAGAGTCAACAATAAAGCTGTGTTATGAGCCGGAAGTTAGCACAGCGTGCTGTTATTCTTGTTCACATGTACAATTAAATATAGCAGGTAACTATACTTCTGGTATCCCATTATACTTTTTTTACAATTTGATATTATGCATGATTTGAATAAATAATTGTAAAAGCATGATTGCATGACGTATAGGAATTAAAATTGAACGCCATTTGAAATTTTATTATATTTTTGTATATTGGAAATGTTCCGTCACGCTGAAATAATCTAACATAAAGTAGTTCTTTTGTGTTTAATTAATTATTGTTCCCTGTACGCTTCAATACGTAAAAATTACTTCGAACATACCATAACGTATATTTACTGTATGGTTATATAATAACACGAAACTATCTGATTTGTACGAGAGGGACGTAGCTCCCGAGTATAAATCAGGTTGCCGAGTGTTTAAATGTTCGGGGTTTTTTTTGTATCATAGGTAAAAATGGCAACACTTTGCCTGTCGTCACAATATGAAACCCCAGAAATAAAAATGTAACTTTCTATCATGGTATCATAGTTTGGCACATGGTCTGGGTGTCTTTCTGTTGAAAATGTGTCAGAATTATATCGGATACATACTGCAGTATACATGCACAGTGTGTTAACTGGAGTGCAGGAACTATTACTTACTCGCACCTCAGAGCATGCCCATTGATTGGCTCATTTTGACCGGGCTTTATTTATTGTGATGACAGAGAAAGAGATAGCGATTGAAATATCACAATAAGATGCTTGTTTATTGTTAACATTTTTTCTGGGGTTTCATATTGTGACAGCAAGGAAAGTGTTTTCATTTTTGCCTGTGATACAAAAGAGAAAAAACGTCAAAACACACGGCAATCTCATTTATACTCGGGGGCTATCCCCCCTTGTACAAATCAGATATCCCCGCGTTTCGATGCTCTTTCTATTACTTATCTCTTTCCCTTTCGTCACAATAATTAAAACCCAGAAAAAATGAAGTCTATCAACGAACATGATCTATTTTTATACCCGACATTCATGTGGTAACAGAAGTGCTGCACTCCGGATAACGCAATGTGCATGTGTAGGTTATTGATTTGACTCTGACACATTTTCAATAAAAAAGTCTTCAAACTATGATACAGTTGTATGGTTGACTTAAATCTTTAAGTAGGACTACTGCATGTTAGATTAATTCAATTCGACGGAATCAGCTATGAGATGCCGAAATGAATTATCTTAATATCTCATCTGCATTCCCCATCCCCAACCTGTATGAACATTTGTAACTATCTTAACAAGTGTAATAAATTTTCTGTTCGTTCATTTAATCCTTTGTAACATATTGAGAAATGATGGTTTGACATAATTATGTTACACTACTTCTGGAAAATTTGATTACGGAATATCATGAAGATCTTTATTATAATTATAGCTTTAAGTTTCATGCGGAAAATACATTAATTTTCCGCGAAGGAGGTACGAAAATTCGTATCCAACACTTAGCCTTTGTTATACATATGTAGTACATATGTATGTCAACCATAATATTTGACGAATTACTTGTGTTTTCTTTCGCCTACAGAACGTAGAGGGAAACCCAAGTTTCTTTATTTTTAGATGTGTCAATTATGACGTCACAACATCGATGCAGAAAAATATCCTTAAAATGTAAATAATATCAGACTAACAAAATGAAATGCATATTATTTCACATTAAATTCCAAAGGATTCTAAAACCATGTTTTGTTTAATATCTAAATGGCGGATAGTTTCGCGCGCTCCATGACGTAACATGAATGCAAAGGAGTACCATAACAGCATAACAATAATCGGAATGATCGGCTATTATGCCTGACGAAAATGCCCAAGATTTTGCAGTTGCCCTTTCCCAAAATTAAACTCCGCGCACCGGTTACAACCACTGCCTTCACACAGATCACGTGATGATGGTCTTATCACATGATTGTGTAAAAATGGCGTATACGCCAATGAAATCGTTTAAAAAGTGTTTTATCTATAATAAACAGCGACATTAAAAACTTTAACTCTGGTCTCAAATATGTCAATGATTGGAAAAAAAAAGATTTTTGTAAAGCTTAGAGTCGAAATTAATAATTACTTGAATGATTTCTCTTTCGAGAGGGGTCATTGTTTTGGAAATAAAAAAAAATTCATAATATTTATGTTCCAAAATTATTTTTTTATTTAAGTTCACATCTAACATCTATCGGTCTTGAAACATTAGCAAAACCGTGTTTACTTTTTAAAATAAATATAAAAATTGAAAAAATTCATATCGTCAAATATCTTGACGAAAATGTTGTGATGGCAGAGATCTTAACCTGTAAGGGGAGATCACTACGTAGGAGATTGTCACAAAATCTGATTTCATTCCATAAGAGGCGACGCGCTTCGGCGCGGACGCCAATAAGTTAGTGGACAGTCAATCAATGGGGAAAAGCTCATTTTAATACGTTGAAACTGTATATAATACAACAAAACTTGATGAATGTGCTTTTCTGATGGATTGTATTGCTCTTTTTAATTGCATAAAGCATCATCCCGTTTCGCCCGACAGACTTCCTAGAATAAGTTTTACACAATTAACTCGAGCAAATTTAACAATTAGAATATTTCGTTCATTGCAATATTCCCTTATATTAACATGTATATTATGAGGTTATTATACATTGAAACATTGAGTACAATATTGAATTCTACTGGAAGTGTACACAGTTGTGAAACCAATACTGGAATGGCAGCAAGTCGAATCTGATATATAGGTTTTAAAGCTGTGAACGAGTCCAACAAAATCAGTATGTCCTCGGCAATGTATACTGACCTCTTTATTTCACACCACCATATTTAGACATTTTGACAGAACTTTGTACATAACTTCAAGTATAATAAGGATTTGATGTGAATTTTTCGGAATGAAAACGAGTACGATATTTATTTGATTTAGATATTTGATATAGATTTCTGGAAATTGAAACGACGCTAAACTGATAAGATCCACTCATAATTTTGTTTGGAACATCAAATGGTTCAAACGCTGATGATTCATAAGGTGTGAAATAAATAAAATAAATCTATACATAAAGTATATTATATATAACTAACAATATATATATAATCAACATTATCAACAGATTGTCCCTATGGAGACCGCAAAGTATGCTATCCTTACCTTTGTGACACCTACACCGATCCTACTGAATGTTGTCTCACATGCATGCCGCTGATGTCAAGCAGTTCAACGTCATCATCGACGTCATTAACTACGGTACAAAAGCCGTCTACGTCACTGACAGAATTACCACCAGGTTTCTGAATGATACTGATTTTCTTTCTATAAATTTTGTTTTCGGTATGCTATATATCCTCGAATATTTCATACTAGATCTAAGTACAAACGATGTCTATAAAGTAAAGTAGGGTAGGAAAATAAGTTGTAAGCTTGATATCAGTATCTTGGTGGTTTTTCGAGAAAACAAACTTCAAAATTTTTGAGTTGATAATTATATATACAATACGACATTAGAAATATTTAGTAAAAGACAATAGGTAGATAAGTGGCGTACATCAATAAGTTACACGAACTGTATATGTGATAAAAGCATTTTAAACTATAATAACAATAAATGTTCCGCTATATTAACTTTACATAACAACAAATTCTTTAATTAATAAGATATCTTCATAACAATCTTTGCAAAACAAGTTTTCCCAAACTTTCGAACTGTTCATCTTATGTTTTATTCCACCAAGTTTCAGAGAAGGAAGATGAATGCGTAGATGACCTATCATTTACCAAGGAAGGTAAGACATGTAGCGGTTTAGTCCGAGAATCTACAACGAGAGAATGCTATAACGAGGATGTGGAGAAAGCTTGCTGTTTTTCGTGCACTGAAGTCAGTTCTGGAAATCCAGGTATAATATTTACCCTTTATACAATAAAATTGCGCAATGGATTTGTCATGTTTTGAAATTTGGATTAGTCTTTTTCCTAGATTGTTATGGTTAAAATATATATGTCTTAAATAACGTAATAACTACATTCAATCTTTTTCATGACAATTCAATCTTTAATGATAACATGATTATTTTTCCTGTCTAGACTGCCTTTATGGAGATAGACTGGTGTGTCTCTCATTTCTATGCAATACTTACGAAAATCCAAAGAGGGATTGCTGTCTCACGTGTCAGTCTTCCACACCTAGCAGTACATCGTCGACATCATCAACTACATCAATGACGTCACCACAAACTACAACAACTACAGTCGTGACCACACAATCTAGTCAGCAAACAAGTTCAGCATTTTCAACAACAACCCAGCAATTTACAGCAACAGATCAAACCACACTAGGTCCTACAACATCAGAAATTCTATCAACAACTACTGAGAGCCAAACAACACCAGATAAAACAACACCAGGTCCTACAACAACAGAAAGTACATCAACAACTACTGAAAGTCAAACAACAACAGATAAAACAACACAAGGTCCGACAACAACAGAAATTACATCAACAACTACTGAAAGTCAAACAACACCAGATAAAACAACACTAGGTCCTACAACAACAGAAATAACATCAACAACTAATGAAAGTCAAACAACACCAGATAAAACAACACAAGGTCCGACAACAACAGAAATTACATCAACAACTACTGATGGTCAAACAACACCAGATAAAACAACACTAGGTCCTACAACAACAGAAAGTACATCAACAACTACTGAAAGTCAAACAACAACCGATATAACAACACCAGGTCCTACAACATCAGAAATTACATCAACATCTACTGAAAGTCAAACAACAACAGATAAAACAACACCAGGTCCTACTACAACAGATATAACATCAACAACTACTGAGAGCCAAACAACAACAGATAAAACAACACTAGGTCCTACAACAACAGAAATAACATCAACAACTACTGATGGCCAAACAACAACAGATAAAACAACACTAGGTCCTACTACAACAGAAAGTACATCAACATCTACTGAAAGCCAAACAACACCAGATAAAACAACACTAGGTCCTACTACAACAAATATAACATCAACAACTACTGAAAGTCAAACAACACCAGATAAAACAACACCAGGTCCTACAACATCAGAAATAACCTCAACAACTACTGAAAGTCAAACAACAACAGATAAAACAACACCAAGTCCTACAACAACAGAAATTTCATCAACAACTTCTGAAAGTCAAACAACAACAGATAAAACAACACAAGGTCCGACAACAACAGAAATTACATCCACAACTATTGAAAGTCAAACAACAACAGATAAAACAACAAAAGGTTCGACAACAACAGAAATAACATCAACATTTACTGAAAGTCAAACAACAAGAGATAAAACAACACAAGGTCCAACAACAACAGAAATTACATCAGCAATTACTGAAAGTCCGAAAACAATAGATAAAACAACACTAGGTCCTTCAACAACAGAAATTACATCAACAAATACTGAAAGCCAAACAACAACATATAAACCAACACAAGGTCCCACAACAACAGAAATAACATCAACAACTACTGAAAGTCAAACAACAACAGATAAAACAACACAAGGTCCTACAAAAACAGAAATTACATCAACAACTACTGAAAGCCAAACAACAACAGATAAAACAACACTAGGTCCGACAACAACAGAAATTACATCAACAACTACTGAAAGTCAAACAACAACAGATAAAACAACACTAGGTCCGACAACAACAGAAATTACATCAACAACTACTGAAAGTCAAACAACAACAGATAAAACAACACAAGGTCCGACAACAACAGAAATTACATCAACAACTACTGAAAGTCAAACAACAACAGATAAAACAACACTAGGTCCGACAACAACAGAAATTACATCAACAACTACTGAAAGTCAAACAACAACAGATGAAACAACACTGGGTCCGACAACAACAGATATAACATCAACAACCACAGAAAGCCAAACAACAACAGACAAAACAACACTAGGTCCGACAACAACAGAAATTACATCAACAACTACTGAAAGTCAAACAACAACAGATAAAACAACACTAGGTCCTACAACAACAGAAATTACATCAACAACTACTGAAAGTCAAACAACAACAGATAAAACAACACTAGGTCCTACAACAACAGAAATTACATCAACAACTACTGAAAGTCAAACAACAACAGATAAAACAACACTAGGTCCTACTACAACAGAAATTCCATCAACAACTACAGAAAGTCAAACAACAACAGATAAAACAACACAAGGTCCCACAACAACAGAAATAACATCAACAACTACTGAAAGTCAAACAACAACAGATAAAACAACACCAGGTCCGGCAAAAACAGAAATTACATCAGCAACTACTGAAAGTCCGACAACAATAGATAAATTAACACTTGGTCCTTCAACAACAGAAATTACATCAACAAATACTGATAGTCAAACAACAACAGATAAAACAACTCAAGGTCCCACAACAATAGAAATATCATCAACAACTACTGAAAGCAAAACAACAACCGATAAAACAACACTAGGTCCCACAACAAAAGAAAATACATCAACAACTACTGAAAGTCAAACAACAACAGATAAAACAACACAAGGTCCGACACCAACAGAAATTTCATCAACAACTACTGAAAGTCAAACCACAACAGATAAAACAACACCAGGTCCTACAACAACAGAAATTACATCAACAACTACTGAAAGTCAAACAACAACCGATAAAACAACACCAGGTCCTACAACAACACAAATTACAACAACAACTACTGAAAGTCAAACAACAACCGATATAGCAACACTAGGTCCGACAACAACAGAAATTCCATCAACAACTACTGAAAGTCAAACAACAACAGATAAAACAACACTAGGTCCTACTACAACAGAAATTCCATCAACAACCACAGAAAGTCAAACAACAACCGATATAACAACACTAGGTCCGACAACAACAGATATGACATCAACAACTACTGAAAGTCAAACAACAACAGATAAAACAACACAAGGTCCGACAACAACAGAAATTACATCAACAACTACTGAAAGTCAAACAACAACCGATAAAACAACACTAGGTCCTACAACAACAGAAATTCCATCAACAACCACTGAAAGTCAAACAACACCAGATAAAACAACACCAAGTCCTACAACAACAGAAATTACATCAACAACTTCTGAAAGTCAAACAACAACAGATAAAACAACACAAGGTCCTACAACAACCGAAATTACATTCAACCAAAACAACTAAAAGAAAGGGTTTTCCCAAAAAAAAACCCAAAACCAGAAAAAAAACAACATAGGTTTTCCAAAACAAAAAAAGATTCAATTCAAAACAACTAAAAGAAATTTAAAACAAACAACAGAAATAAACAAACACCCCAGGTCCTACAAAAACAAATAAAATCAACAATATAAATTTCCAAAACAAAAAACAAAAACAAAAACAAAAAACAGGTCCTTATTACAACAACAGAAAGATAAAACTTTTCCCGATTTTAACAACAAAAAAGAAGATACATCGATATCAAGTTCAACAACAAAAAAAGAAGATAAAACGAAAATGAGTTAAAACAACAAAAAAAAAATACAACGAATGGGAGTTAAAGAAAAAACAGAAAGTTTACAACGATATCAAATTAAACAACAACAGAAGATAAAAACGATATCGAGTTAAACAAAAAAAAGAAGATAAAACGATATCAAGTTCAAACAAAAAAAACAAACAAAAAAAGAAAAAAACGATATCGAGTTCAAAACAAACAAAAAAGAAGAAAACAAGGGAAAATCAAGTTCAAAAAACAACAGAAGAAAAACGATACGGTTAAACAACAACAGAAGTTTACAACGATATCGATTTTCAACAACAAAGAAAAAAGATTAAAAACCCGGAAAAAATATCTTTTTTCAAAAACAACAGAAGATACAAACGATATCGAGTTCAGCAAAACAAAGATACAACGATATCAATTTCAGAAAACAACAAAAATTTAACACAAATATCAAGTTAAACAAAAAACAGAAAATACATGGGAAATCTTTTTAAAACAACAACAAAAGGGTACAACAATATCAAGTTCACCAACAAAAAAAGATAAAAGGATACCCGAGTTCAGCAACAACAGAAGATACATCGATATAAAAGTTCAACAAAAAACAAGAAAAATAAAAAACCCGAAAAAAATTCAAAGGTTCAAACAAAAAAAAACAGAAAAAAAAATAAAAAATTCGATTAAAAAAAAATCGGTTCAACAACAACAAAAAATACAACAATATCGAGTTCAGCAAAAAACAGAAGAACAACGATATCGATTTTCAGAAAACAACAGAAGATACAACGGATCGTCTCAACAACAACAAAATGCTAAAACTATAGGGGTATCCATAAAAACTTTGTTCACAGCCAAAAAAAAAGCCCTCAACGACACAGACACCCCGGAAAGAAGGGTCTTTGGAAAAAAATTTCAACATCTAAGGGTAAAAATGATCTATTTTTAAAATTTTTTTCCGGGGCAATGCTTTTTTTAAACTAAAACTTTTGCTAAGCAATTTTTTTTTGGGTGTGAATTTTTTTTGGGGAATTGTTTTTTTTTTAACCCCGGGAGCGATGGGTTTTTTAAAATTTTAAATTTACCATTGTATCAAATTGAATTCAGCTGAAGGGCGAATTAACTTCATAAATGAGTTTTACACTAATTTTATGCTTGGAAGAGCATGACACCCCCTTCCCACACACCCCAAACACAAAAAAAACCACCCCACATTTTTTTTAAAAATTTTAAAAATTTTGCAGCATTTTTTCCAAATTTTTTAAAAATTGTTGTTTTTTTTGTTTAAATTTTTAACAAAATACCGTGTGGTGCCCCGTGACTTTCACTGACACCCTTGGCAGCCCCTTTCTCATCCCCCTATCTAAGGGATATTGGCCCAATATGACTCCAATTCCCGGATGGTTCTGATTTGCTGCTGACAAAGGAAATTTCAAATTGCAGCTTTTTCCCCACATGAGTTCTTTTGGGAATTAAGCCAGGTAAAAGGGGAGTTGGCCAGCCCATGCGCTAATGGGCTCCCTCTTAGGTAGTCCTGACCAACCTGGCGATAGGGGAAAAGCATTATTGCCCATTAAAATAAAATGATCCCGACTCCCTCCAGCAAAACAACATAATCTGGTTTTTCTAAGTGTCTTAAATGTATTGCTAAACCTGTCAATTTGGCCCCCAATTTAGCAAAACCCAAAGGTCGGTTCGCCCATCCCAGCTGTCCTCCCCAATCCCAAAACCCTGACCCAAAACTCCGTAGCTTTCATGCTTAGCTATATTTGCAGTCTGAAATTTTTAAACCCTCATTTTCCAGACTCTAGCACTTTTCAATGTGAAGTCAAAGGTAAAAACCCTTGACTCATCAGTGAACAAAAACCGTTTTAATTTCCCATGAGTTTTCCCGGGGAACCCCCAAATGGTTCAATTTTCGGAAAACAAAAAGGCTAAAAAAAAAAAAAGGGTTTTTTTTTTTAAAAACACTCAAATCGTTTCCCCCAATTTTCTAATTTTCCCCCCATTTTTTGGGGGGAATGTTTCCCCTAAATTCAAAAAATTTTTAACCCAATTTTTTTTTTGGCCCCCAAATTTTTTAATTTATTCGGGGGCTTAAAAAGGCCCGGTGCTAAGGGGGGGTTGACCCGGAAACCCCTTTTTTCTTTTCCATTACCAAAAATTGAAAAACAGGTTTTCAATCCAAACCATTTTTTGTGCAAAAACCCATTTCCCCCCACCTTTTTTTGCCTTTGTTTTTAAAAAGGCTTTTTCTTTAAGGCCCGATTTTTTTTGGTTTTTTCCAAAACCCTTTTTTTTTTGATCCAAAAAAATTTTCCAAAAAAATTGCCTTTTTTTCCCTAAAATTTTTGGTTTAAAAAAAATTGATTTTTTTTTAGGTCGAGTTTTTTAAAAAAAAAAAATTTTTGGGGTCACCCCGGGGGTTTTCAAAAAATCTTAAGGTCCCCCATTTTAAAAAAATTTGGAAAAAAAAAAACCTTTTTTTGTTAAACAATTTTTTCCCTTTTTTGGTTTTTTTTAAAAACATTAATTTTTGCCTTCAAAATTTCAAATTTTTTTTAAACCTTAATTTTTAAAAAAGGGGAAATTCCCCCTTGGTTTCTTTAGTTAATTTGGCCCCCCGGGATTTGATTTTAAAAGTTTAAAATCACTCTGAGGGAAAAATTTCACGGATTTAAAAAAAAGAAAAATATTGTTAATTCTAAAGTGGCAAATTGTTGTTATCCAAATACCCCTTGGAAATTGGTCGGGAATTTTGGTTTTGATGTTTTTTGGTAAAAATCGATTAGGGTTACCTGGGGTTTAAAAAGCAAGGTCCACTCCCCAAATATGGAAAAACATTGTTAGCATCAAAGGGGGTTATTTTTTGGGACAAAATTTTTTATAAAAACTCAAAAGGAGAAAGTCAAAATATTGATTGGAGGGGTTTTGTGTCAGGTGAGCGATCTAGGGCTTTTTGGGCCCTTTTTTCTTTGTTTTTCCCAGTTTTTGTAAAAAGCAAAAAAAAACCGTACTTTTAATGGGCACCTTGGGGGGTTTGCTTGGATTTAAATTCAGTATTTCTAAAGTTTTTCCCCTTTACTTTTAAAGGATTTTATTTTTCAATTTGGCACATGTACCCCAAAAGATATTTGGCAAAAAATCAAAAAATTAAAAATGGATTTGGGGGGCCCCCTTTTCCTAGGGGACACTTTCCCTGGAAAAATTTAACATTTTCAAATGAAAAAACAAAGGGAATTAGCCCAACTGAGTAAAAATTTTATCTAAATTTCTTAAAATTTTTTTACGGGGAGGGCATTTATTTGCTAATTTTTATTATAACACAAAATCTGTTTTGGGGGAAATTTAATTTAAGAAGCTTAAACAAATTTTTTTTTAATTATTTAAATCTTTCGGGATATGGCCCTCAAAAATTTTCTTTCGACTGTATCAGCGTTCTTTTTGGTTTTAATCATTATGAAGCAGTCACGGGGTTTTGTAACCCAGAAAAAGGGACTACAAAAAAGGAAAATTTCCCTTCATCATGGGAATCTGAAATTTTGTCCTTTAACCTTTTCGGTTTTTTCCCGTTTTTTGAAAAAAATTTCCCGTCCTTAAAAGGGGAAAATTTTCCCCTTTACTTTGCGCAAGGGTGAAATAATTTTAAAAAAGCCCTTTTTTTCATCTTTATTTTTATAATCAGGAAAATTGCCAATGTGGTTTTTCGGAACGTTTTTTTTTAAAAAAGGAAGGTGTTAAAAATTTTTTAAAAAAATTTTGGTAAAAGTTTTTTTGGTTGGGAATTTTGAATAAAATTAAATTTTTTTAAAATTAAATTTTTCCCGTTTCTTTTAAAAAACGGCTGGGAATTTAAAAAAATTTTTTTTAATAAAATTTTTCCCCTTTTATCAAAAGAATGTAGGGAAAACGGAGGTTACAAGTCGTCCTTTCCTTGTCCCGACGGCCAAATTTTGCAAGCGTAAAGGGAAAACGAAGTTCTTACCCGTACCCGGGGTATACTGGTATACGTCACTTCCGTTTTTTCAAAAAGGACTTTTTTTCCCAAGGGAATTTGTCAAAAATGACCCTTTGGGAGCGTTTTTACGTCATTTCCTTTCAAAGGGAATTTAAAGAACAAAACCTTTTTATACGGGGGGAGACAGGTCACATCTTTTTAAAGGGTTTTTTCTTCAAAGATCCTTGTAACAAAGAAATGTTACCTTTTCCCTATTCAAAACGGGGCTTTTTTTTCAAAAACGCCTTTTAAATTTGTAGTCACTTTCCCTTTTCAAAACGGCGATGTCTTTTAACAAAAGAAAATGAAATCCGCTTTTTAAACGGCGGGGCCCTTCCCGTAACTTTTTGTCACTTTTGTTCTTGAGGGGGATAAAAATTTCCCGGCAGATGGTTTTCATTTAAGGGAAAGCCCTGGGGAACGCTAAAAATGGGATTTGTCTCTTACAAATTTTAAAAACATTTTTTCAGTTTATCCAAAAAGTCGATGGAAAAAATATTCGAGTGTGTTTCAATCTGTTTGGTATTGTCTTTTGCTAGTAGTTTTATTGTATATAAAAAGGAATCGTTCCTTTCCTTTTTTACTTTTCTTCGTTTAATTCCCCCACTCCTCTCCGTATTTATACCCCCCCCCCCCCTCCGCACACACACCTCCTTTTACTTGAATATAATAGATGTAATATATATGCTATTTTGTGGTAACATT